GCCAAAAAAAGAAAAATTAGTAGTTTGTCAGAGTAACCTATTGAATGGAAAATACCAGGTGATAAATGTCTTCTAAGACTCAGGGTGTGCCCCTTCTCTGAGGAGGGAAGGCCAAGAACAGGATGGGAATTCCAGAGGGGCAGATCTTGAAACCCTAAAAAGGGGACTGCTCCGTCAGAGTGTCACTCAACCCAAAGTGAACACTAGCTCCTTTTCTGCTTAGACCAGTGTCTTGAAGAGGAAGTCCTCTTCTTCATCTTCACTTGGCTGCATGTGAAGCTTCAAAGCTTCAAACTGGGAGCTTCTCCAGTTGTAGAAAGGGTAATAACCTCTCATCTCTGAAGGACAGCCCATGTTAGCACCTGGCTTGCTCTACCACGGAAGTTCAGTTTGGTCTTGCTTAATTTTCTGGAACACAGAGGGGAAGCCTAAAATACGACCTGGCAGCATGGCAGCATTTGGTACCACCGCCTATCTGCCCTTCGATCAGGAGAAGCCGAGTGCTGGATTCTCGTGGTGTGTTGGGCTGGGGGTAAGCATGAGGGGCTCTGGCAGAGTGCTGGGAAACCCGCCAGTGCGCAGGGCGGGTCAGGTGAAAAGTGGGTGTGGACAGAGCCCCGGGGACAGAGGGCACAGCTTCTGACTAGATGGGCTTAGATCTAGTTGATGGGATTGAAAATACTTTCAAAAGGGATCAAGCAGAGAGAGCCAAAAACCTGGACTGTGGGCCCACCTGTGTCATTAACTGGAGCTGTGATCTTAGGCAGATCACTTGGTTTCAGATGCCCCAATATATAAAAAGGCAATTGTGGACTAGGTGATTCCTAGGTTTTTCCTCTGTCCAGCGTGCCTACGATTCCCTTCGGATGTTTCTCAGCATGCAGGGCACAGGTATCTGATCCAGAAAGTTACTGACCTCCCTGGTTAGGACCAAAGTTATGAGCTGTGTTGGGGTCCGTGTCTTACAAATTAATTTTGTACCAAACTAAAGCTGCAAATCCATACTTGATGTGTTTGTGGATTATATGAATTTGTTTTTCTGTGGAGATCTTGTCCGCATATACATTACTTTGAGGGTAGCTTAATTGATGTTTTCACTGTCTTCGAGGTCCTCAAACTAAGATTTTGTATTTTGAGATTATGAGGAACTCATAAAGGAGGATGAAGGTCTTGAATTCTGTTCTTTTCAGTTCGCTTCTGTTTGTTCACTTAAATTGAACAGCATTCACACTTATAACTTTGAGTGGAGACCGGTTGAAGGTTCTGGCCTGGGGCTTGCCTCTCATTTGACGGTGAAACTTTGCAGATATCTGTTCTCCGCTTCCCTGTATTTTCCTGTTTCATTGGACTCTTTCTTGGATCCTTTCATCATGTCTTCTCTACAGGAGCCTCTAACAAATACTAGCTTATACCAGAAAACTCGGGAAGGTTTTTTACCGTAGTTCTTAGATCGAGACAGGAGTAGTTGGATGGTGGTACCAAGCTCAGGATTCTCCCAACCTCGCGCTGTGACATTCGGGGCCGGACTACAGCCGCGTGAGTGGTGGGGCCGCGTGCAGCCAAGGACGTGGTGCCTCCCAGAGTCCGCCCTCCGTGGTCACACGAAGAACCCCGGGCCCTGAGGCGGGCGGGGGCCCCTCCCTACAGGGAGTCCCCGTCCTGGGTGCGAACCTGTGATGTTTTTATGTGTAGGGTTGAAAGGAGTTAGCTGTGCTTGGTGTGCCGTCATCAGCAACTGCATGTCAGAAATCTGGGAAACAGATGCTTTGTTAATTATTTTCTTGGAGTCGTTTAGGGGAAGAGGATTGGTTGGGGGGGTTGTTGCGGAGAGGGCGCTGCGACTCCTGAGGGACGAAGCGGGGACCTCCCTCGGGCCTCCCAGGACCGGAGACGGCAGCGGGAGGGGGGCTAGCGTGCGTGCGTGTGCGCGCCCGCCTGCCTGCCGGGACGCAGCCCCTCAGGCTGTAAGAGGTGTGTAACTGTTCCGCGGGGCGCTCGCCTTCCCGTGGGGTCTCCACTCATGCGGCACCGCGCGCGCGTCGTGGGTGCATACGCGGCTTCGTTTTGGTCAGGAGTGAAGGTTGCGTGGTGGCGGCCCGAGCCGTGTGCAGGACACGCTGCGGGCTCGCGGGCGCCCAGGAGTCCCGGCGGCCGGCGGTGTGGGGTCTGGCCCCTACGCCACCTTGCCCGGTAGTGACTCCGTGACGCAGGTTATCCACACTCCCGTGGGAAACGGGGTGCGGCTTATGTAGAAATGTACGGAAAGTTTCGTGTCCTGATCTCGCGTGGACTGGAAGATGGGCATTTGGCTGGTCCAGGCACATGGTCGTGTTCTGGTACGTCTCACACTGTCATGGTCACTTCAGGTTTGGCCCCCGGCCGAGCCGCTACGGCTTTCAGCGCGTGGCTTGGCTGCATGAGTGTGGCCCCTGGACTGAACGTGTGAATGGTGTCACCACAGACTGTGCCTCCTTCTTTGCCCCCCATGACCCCCCAAGTTAAGTGAAAACAGAGGCAGCGATGGAGCCACGGTTACTCTAAACTCTTCATGTGTTTAATGCTGAACCTTCAAATCAACTCCTGTTAATAATTGCCGAGAATGGAGTCAGTCCTTACAGCTGAGAGTGGTGTGATTGGTCAGCTGGAGCGGAGTTTTCTCCAGGCCAGTTGCTTTTCATGAACACCCCTCCCTGAGTCGTCATTGTTTCAGCAGCAGTGCACTGAGGACGGTGATTTGCTTGACAGAAAATGTGTTAAATTAGCAGACCTACTTCTTTAGCAGATCTTTTCTCACCCCCATTCCCATTGTGTTTCTTCTGTTTCTCTGAAGGTTGTGTTTGCAGAGTCTTTTAGGTGTGGGAGACAATTTTTATAATCGGTGTCCTGGAGTTCTTTTCTTAGGGGACACTGTTATATAGGGGGAAGGTGACTTAGAGAAATTTCACTTGTGCCATAATTAAGGGATTTAATTTTTTTCACTCTTAGGCTGGTATGATTTGGGTTAGTATCCCACACGTTGTTAGAACGTTCCCCTCCTGGTCCCCAACATCCGGTAAGGGAGGCTGGATGCCTGCTTTAACAACATAATGGAAAACGTGTCTCTCAGAAACAATGTCGAGGATGCCTGTGTCCTTATACCACTAGAGTTTCATCACTTTTGGTGATGGAGCCCTCTTCATTATCTATAACTCTACTTGGATTTCTGTACTATGCAAGCCTTCAAAGTGATAGTGGAATTACAAACAAAAGGGGAATCTAGACTCCCAGTCTCCCTTCTGTCTGTTATTGTCATCTTATTAACATTAACGGCCCCAGAATAATTGCAGAGGTATGGGACCAGGTGGCTCTTCTGCTGCCCTGGGGAATTAGAGTATGTTGTGAGGGAGGAAAGGGTGAATGGCTGGGTGGCAGCGATGGCTGCAGGAGCTCAGAGGCCACAGGGCTCATGAGTGACGTGCTTCTTGTGGAAGGCAGGGCTGGGGGGGGGAGGTCACAGTGAGTAAGCGCATTGCAATCAGAGTTCTCTCATTTGGAGGGCTAGTGAAAAATGAGGTTGACAGACAGGAGGTGAGACGCTGCAGCAAGCCTGGAATGCCAGGCCCACTCGTGTTAATCTTTTTTTTTTTTTTTTTCCCGGTATGCGGGCCTCTCACTGTTGTGGCCTCTCCTGTTGCGGAGCACAGGCTCCGGATGCGCAGGCTCAGCGGCCGTGGCTCGCGGGCCCAGCCACTCCGCGGCATGTGGGATCTTCCCGGACCGGGGCAGGAACCCGCGTCCCCTGCGTCGGCAGGCGGACTCTCAACCACTGCGCCACCAGGGAAGCCCCCGTGTTAATCTTTTTTATTCAGGCAGTGAAGTTTTGGGCAAGAATGACAACAAAGTTTTAGACTAAGAATGTCCTGGGTACTAAATGTTTTAGATTAAGTCTGGTATTGGTAACTGGGCTTAACTCTAGGAGTGGAGTGGTTGTGAAATGCTGCAGGTAGCGGTAACAGGAAAGGACCTTCGTCACTGGCTTTGAATAGTGCGACTAGGTGACTGACAGTGTTGGGTGCATAGAGAGGGTGGTATCTGGTAAGGATGTTTTTGGCTGCAAGTAATGGAATGCTGTACTCACAGTGACTTAAAAAACTCTGTGGACTGTCCTATAACACGTGGTCTGGAGGATCCTGGCAGGTATGCTGCTCATTGACAATGTCCTTAAGCGCTCAGGCAGTGGTCTGCGAGTGGTTACAGGATGGTTTGCATAGCTCCAAGGTCTGCATTGCTGAGTGATGCAGGGAAGTACAGGAAAATTACAATTGAAAATCAATTGTATGTTGAGTTGGTGATTTGAAGAGGCTGGAGATGACTTCAGAGAAGGCTGTTGGGAAAAGGAAGAGGGAAAGGCTAAAACTACATTGTCCTGGAATGAGAGACGAAAAGAGCTCTCTAGGAGGCTTAAGAGAATGGTGGAAAAGAATGAACTTTTTAAAAAAAAATTATTTTATTTATTTTGGCTGCATTGGGTCTTCATTGCCACACGCGGGCTTTTCTCTGGTTGCGGTGGGCTGGGGCTACTCATCGTTGTGGTGTGCAGGCTTCTCATTGTGGTGGCTTCTGTTGTTGTGGAGCATGGGCTCTAGGCGCGTGGGCTTCAGTAGTTGTGGCACACGGGCTCAGTAGTTGTGGCTCATGGGCTCAAGAGTGCAGGCTCAGTAGTTGTGCCACACGGGCTTAGTTGGTCCGGGGCATGTGTGATCTTCCTAGACCAGGACTTGAACCCGTGTCTCCTGCATTGGCAGGCGGATTCTTAACCACTGAGCCACCAGGGAAGCCCAAGAATGAACTTTTTAGAAAAACTTTTTCACGAGTAATATGTAATATTATAAAAAGAAACCCCAGTTCCTCCTAGGTTAATGTTTTAGTGCTGTACTGAAGAGGTCAATTGTAGGACAGCCTATCCCCTGCTTTTTTTTTTTTTTTAAGACAATCTCAAATGTTTATTGCCTTCATAACAAAACAAAATATGAAGCTCAGAACTGGATCACCTGGCCCTTTCTCTTCTTATCTCCTCCCAGCTCAAAATGCTTGCATCTCTTAATAGCCAGCATTCTCTTAGATCTGCAGTTCGGCTCAACACATTCAAGCCTCAGCACAATCTTCTTTGTAGTTTTAGCCTTTTTCCGGAAAATTGGCTTAGTCTGCCCACCATAGCCACTCTGCTTCCTGTCATAACGCCGCTTTCCCTGGGCATACAGAGAATCCTTGCCCTTCTTGTACTGTGTCACTTTGTGGGGTTGGTGCTTGCCACACTTCTTACAGAAAGTCCGGCGGGTTTTAGGAACGTTCGCCGTGTTTGCGAGAGCGCTATCGGCACGGAAAGCCTGTCCCCTGCTTTTTAAAGAAGAGTCAGCTTGTTTCCAAATTCTCCTCCCTGTCTTATACTAGCAGTCCTCTTCCCCCTTCTGTCCCCTTCTGATTGTTGGGAGTGGGGTGGTAGTGACGCCACTAGGATTGCCAGTTGCTCCTTCTTTTAGCTTCCTATATAGGAAAATGAAACTGAAAATCTGGGCCCAGAAATGTACCCCTTTTATCATTAGAATTTTAGATTTACTTTTGCTTACCTATTGATTGTTTGGAATTCTTCAGTTTTTAGTTTTTCTCTGTTAAGTATTTAATGATTTGTATGACTACTACTTAGTGGGACTCATTCTTCCATAATGGGAGTTTATGTACAAATAAGATAGTCACGTATCAATGTGATGCTTCATTCTAATCACAGTTCCCCACACCTGGGGAAGTGACAGCTCAACAGAAAGGAGTAGTTCTTCTGTTTATTTGTTTGTCTTATCTGCCACCTAGCTCTACAAAAATTTTTGGAGGTTATCTGGCTGCTCTACCTGCCCTTTGCTCCTTTTCCCTCCTCCCGGCTGAAGTAAGTCTATATCCTGGCTGGTAATCTGACACATCTTGCAAGAAAAGATGAACTGGATCAATCAAATTCCCATTCTTGGGATTGTAACCTAGGAAATACGAGGGTTATCAAGTTAGTGTGGAAAAGCAGTTAAAAGGTCACAGTGAGGGCTTCCCTGGTGGCACAGTGGTTGAGAGTCCGCCTGCTGATGCAGGGGACACGGGTTCGTGCCCCGGTCTGGGAAGATCCCACATGCCGCGGAGCGGCTGAGCCCATGAGCCATGGCCGCTGAGCCTGCACGTCCGGAGCCTGTGCTCCGCAACAGGAGAGGCCACAACAGTGAGAGGCCCGCGTACCGCAAAAAAAAAAAAAAAAGGTCACAGTGAGAAGCCTCGATGCAAACCAAATTCTTGCATGTGAAGGAGCAGAAACTGGAGAGAGACCCAGCATTAGGGGAATTAATAGGAAGGCTCCAGCCCCAGCACATTGGTGTCCATCCTGCAGGAACCCCCAAGCATCTGAGGGACTCTGTACTCCTTGCCCCCTCCCTTTTCTCCATGTGTGTGTATTAAATATTTTATAAACGTAGGCTCATACTTTTACGTAGACTTCTGAATCCTGTTTTATTCAGTTAACAATATTACATGACACAGGATGCCCTTTCATAGCATACGTTATGACTTTAATAGCTGTGGAGCGTTCATGCTCTGATTTATTTAACCAATCCTCAGTGGAGCATTGAGGTTATTTTTAGTTGTTTACTATCATAACAGCCATGAACAGAAAGATTGTTTTCTTCCCAAGATAGAATTAGTGTTTTTGTTCATTAGACTTCTCTTATTACCCTCTATATTTGAAGTCTTAAGTTTTGAATTTTCTTCATAGTCAATTTTTATCTTGCATTTCATGACAAAAGCTAACATGAATTTGGTGCCCACTGTGGGCACTCCAGGCACTGCTTGGTGTTTCTCATGCATCCACCTATCCTTTTTTAAAATTGAGATACAATTGACATACAACATTAGTTTCAGGTGAACAGTATAATGATTCCATATTTGCATATGTTAAGAACTGATCACTACAGCAAGTCTAGTTAACATCCCACACTGCACATAGCTACAAATTTCTTTTCTTGTGATGAGAACTTTTTAAGATCTACTCTCAGCAACTTTTGCTTGTACAGTACAGTGTTGTTAACCATGGTCACCATGCTGTACATTACATCGCCACGAGTTACTTGTTTTATAAATGGAGGTTTGTGCCTGTTTACCCCCTTTACCCATTACACCCACCCCTGCTTCTGGGAACCACTGGTCTGTTCCCTGACAGTAAGTTGCAGACATGATACCCCTTACTCCTAAACACTTCTGTGTTTTTATGCCTTAAAAACACAGACATTTTCTTACATAACCATAGTACAATTATCAAAATCAGGGAATTAATACTGAATAAAATTTCTAGATAATAGTATATCATATTGTCAACTGACCCCAAAATATTAATGTATAATTTATATATTTTTATGATTTTAAATACAGTATTATTTTAGAAATTATTTTGCTGGCTAGGGTTTTCAATCTAGGATCATGTGTTGCATTTAACTATTGGGTCTCTTTCGGCTCTGTTAGCCTAGAGTGGTTTTTTAGTTTTTGTCTTTCATAACCTTGACCTTTTGGAATTGAGACTGTCCCTCAATTTGGGTTTGTTGTATGCACTCTCATGATGAGATTCAGGTTCTGTGTTTTGGCAGGTGTACTAAAGAAGTGGTGTGTCCTTAGGGCATCATATCAGGAGTCACGTGATGTCACTTGGTCCCATGGTGATGGTTATTATTAACTTTCATTGCTTGGTTTGAGGTGGTGTCTGCCAGCTCTCTCCTCTGTGAAGTTACTGTTTTTCTCTTATAATTAGTGCATACCTGGTGGGGAGAGGCTGTGTAAACATCCTGTTTCTCATCAACATTTCACCCATTTTAATCCTTGCATGCTTCTTTGCCTGAGTCAATCAGTACATCATAGTTGCCAAATAGTTATTTTCAAATTACATCATTCTTTTTACATTTATAAGTTGGCATTCATAGTTTTCATTCACAGATTTTAAGTGTTTGATTCAAAACTGTTTCTGGTGTCTGATAAGAGTATAATTTTATAAATTTTTTTTCTTGGAAATTTCATCTAAGTGAATAAGCGTTTGATATAGTAATTTTCACAAAGTGAAATAATTTTTTAAAGCTTCAGATCTTATTTTTTCTTTATACTTTGAGAAGTTTCAAACATACAGTGAAGTTTGAAGACAAATAGAGGTGAGCCCTGCATACCTTTACTTTAGATTCACCGGTTGGTAACATTTTACCACATTAGCTTTATGTTTTCTTTACTTTTAAATTTTGATTTATTTACTTATTTTTAATTAATTAATTTATTTTTGGCTGTGTTGGGGCTTCGTTGCTGCGCGCGGGCTTTCTCTAGTTGTGGCGAGCTGGGGCTACTCTTCGTTGTGGTGTGTGGGCTGCTCATTGCGGTGGCTTCTCTTGTTGCAGAGCACGGGCTCTAGGTGCGCGGGCTTCAGTAGTTGTGGCCCACGGGCTCTAGAGCACAGGCTCAGTGGTTGTGGCGCACGGGCTTAGTTGCTCCACAGCACGTGGGATCTTCCCGGACCAGGGCTCGAACCCGTGTCCCCTGCATTGGCAGGCGGACTCTCAACCACTGCACCACCAGGGAAGTCCCTTTTTTGTTGAACCATTAGACAGTAAGTTGGCAATGTGATGTTACTTCCCTCCCCCCCAAAATACTTTGCCATGTGCTTCATAAAAATAGGGACACTCTCCCACATGACCACATCAGCATGTTCACATTTAAGAAAATTAACAATAATTTTGTAATAACATCCATATCCAGGCATCCTCACCTGTCCCCACAGTGACTTTTAGAGATGTTGTCCCTCACCTCTATCCCGGATCACACATTTGTTTGGTTGTTAGGGGGTTAGTTTTTTTTTTAAAATTTTTCATTCATTCATTTTTGACTGCGTTGGGTCTTGGTTGCTGCGCGCGGGCTTCCTCTAGTTGGGGTGAGTGGGGACTACTCTTCGTTGCAGTGCACGGGCTTCTTATTACAGTGGCTTCTCTTGTTGCCGAGCGCGGGCTCTAGGCGCGTGGGCTTCAGTAGTTGTGGCACGCAGCCTCAGTAGTTGAGGCTTGCGGGCTCTAGAGTGCAGGCTCAGTAGTTGGGGCGCACAGGCTTAGTTGCTCCGTGGCATGTGGGATCTTCCTGGACCAGGGTTCGAACCCGTGTCCCCTCCATTGGCAGGTGGATTCTTAACCACTGCACAAGCAGGGAAGTCCCAGGCGGATAGTTTTTAAGCAGGTTGAAGCCAACCCATTTATCCTAGTAATAAGGAAAAATTGGTAAAATGATTTAAATTTCAAGCTGCAAGTGTATTAGGTGAAATAATAAGGAAAAAAGAGAGTTCATTGGAATAATACTGGCTCCAGTCCAGGCTGTGCTTAAGGTGTGGGCAAGCTGCCTCTCTGAGCCTCAGCTTCTTCGTTGGCAAGTTACTGGCTTATTCCATAGGGTTATGCTGAGATTCAAATGAGCTGAGGCATAGGAGGGCCTGGCACACACAGATTTCTACACCTGGTAACTATTATCATTAAGTTTTTTTTTCTCCTTTTAGTTATTTTTTTTTTTGCCAGACATGTGGGATCTTCTCCTACCAGGGCTCAACCTGTGCCACCTGCAGTGGAAACGTGGAGTCTTAACCACTGGACCACTAGGAAGTTCTCATTAGATTTTGAATTATGATAATGTTTTAACAGAATCATTTGGAAGAAAGGAATTAAATAATAAAGATATGTTAGTGAGATTGCTCATTTACTTATTTTGAAGTCAAAAGGCAATAAAATTGTAAAAAGAAAATCAGTCATATGCTTATGGGGATTAAAGTGATTGCTGAGTACAGGTTTTTAATAGCTTTATAGAGACATAATTCATATTCCATACAGTTCACCCACTTAGAGTATAATTTTGGTTTTAGTGTATTCATAGATGGGTACAGCCATCACCACAGTCAATTTTAGAACATTTTCAGTACCTCAGAAAGAACCCATACCCTTTGCTGTTACCACCTCTATTTCCCATCTCCCTCCTCAGCCACGAGCAACCACTAATCTACTTTCTGTTTCTATAGATACCCTCTTCTGAGTTTTCATAATGAATGGGATCATACAGTATAGGGTCTTCTGTGACTGGCTTTTTTCACTCAGCATCATTTTTTCAAGGCTCATCCATGTTGTAGATCAGTGCTTCATTCCTTTTCATAGCTGAATGATAACATCCCATTGCATGGATATGTGGTGCTGTATTTACCTGTTGATGGATATTTAGGTTGTTTCCACCTTTGGCTTTATGAACAGTGCTGCTGTGAACATTGGTGTACTTTTTTGTGTGTGGACACGTTTTCAGTTCTCTTGGGT